AAATAAATAAAATCTTTAAAAAAAAAAAAAATATACTCTGAGGTTGAGCTGAAAAGTTTGCTAATGAATGCAGGGTATGAGAGAGCGGAGTCAAAGATGACCCTAAGGATTTCGGTCTGAGCAAAGGAGTGAGAGGATGGGCCATTTACTGAGATGGGGAAGCCTCAGAGGCGGCTAGCCAGGGAAATGAGAATTCAGCCAACCTTAACTTTAAGGTGCCTAATAATCTAGGCACATAGTTGCACAATTGCACAATCCCTGCAATTCAGTAAAATGGCCAGGCTGGAAGAGAGCCATGGCTGAAGATGTTTGAAGCCACTTTGAAGGCTCACTAAGGAAGAGAATGGAGAGTCCAGGAATTAAACCCCAGAGCACTCCAACATTTAGATACTTAGAAAGAGAAGATGTGGTAGAATTTATGTCTAAGAAGCAGCAGCTTGTTAGGGGAAGACAAAGATGCTCCATATATGTTCTTACAGAATCAGATGATCTGATGGATAAAACTTCCTTTAAACCAGGACTTCCCGGGGCGCCTGGGTGGCTCAGTCGGTTCAGCATATGACTCTTGATTTCGGCTCAGGTCATGATCTCAGGGTCATGGGATTGAGCCCTGCGTCGGGCTCCACGCTCAGCACAGTCTGCTTGTCCCTCTCCCTCTGCTCCTCCCCAGTGCTCATGCTCTATCTCTTAAAATAAATAAAAAATCTTAAAAAACAAAAAACAGGACTTCCTTTGGGATCATAGGTATCTTATCTCTGGCTTTTCAGACGTCTTCCTCTTCCATTTCTTGGTGTTAGCTCATGGAGAGCAAACCTATTGACCTACGAGGTATTCTCATGTTACTGCTTTACAAAGTATGCTGCTTTGAGGATCTCAAGTCAAATCTCTATTAACACCACACTAAGATGACAATCCAAAAATCTGCAATTTGGTCTTGGGTATATTATTTTATCCCAGAAGTTTTAGCTTCCTTATTAAAACCACAGTTGTATCTGCCTTCCTTAAGTGTGCACAAATGTGGTAAGAAACAGTCCTTATCATGGATAATTTAGAGACACACAGCTCAGCTGGCAAAAACTCCAAGCAAAATAATCTAACCACCTAGGGGCAGGGACACTTGTGCAATGGGTATTACAAATTGTGCAACTGATATAGCATAAACCCCAATATTTTCTGCCTTTATGGTCTGAATAGCCTCAGCTTTCTCATCTGGGAAATGGAGATAATACTACCTTCTCTATCTCATAAAGATTAAATAAACCAAGGTGCTCTGTGTACTGTATTACACAATGCAGTCACACTATTATTTTCTTTACAGGAAATGAATTTGCCAGGAAAGTTTTTAAAGAACTACAATAGGTGGTCAAATTTCAGATGCAATAAGGATTTACAATCCAGCTAAAAATGCTTATAAAATCATTTACATATAAAGGATAGTGATTATAGAATTTATGTTATTTTATTTTTTAAAGATTTTTATTTATTTATTTGACAGAGAGAGAGAGACAGCAAGAGAGGGAACACAAGCAGGGGGAGTGGGACAGGGAGAAGCAGGCTTCCCGCGGAGCAGGGAGCCTGATGTGGGGTTTGCTCCCAGGACCCTGGGATCATGACCTGAGCTGAAGGCAGACGCTTAACAACTGAGCCACCCAGGCGCCCCTAGAATTCTTTTTTTAAAGATTTTATTTTTTTAAAGTAATCTCTACACCCAATGTGGGGCTCTAACTCATAACCCTGAGATCAAGAGTCACATGCTCCACTGAAAGAGCCAGCCAGGTGCCCCCAAATTTTTAAAAATAGTGAAAGACTTAAAAAAATGATGTGAGTGCCCATCAATAAGGACTATTAAATTATAGTCCATCCTATAATGAACTGTAACTGCTGCCCTTAATAAATAGAGGCACTATTACATGTACTGATAAGAAACAATCTTGGGGCACCTGGGTGGATCAGTTGGTTAAGTGTCTGACTCTTGACCTCAGCTCAGGTCTTGATCTCAGGGCTGTGAGTTCAAGCCCTGCATTGGGCTCTATGCTAGGTGTGAAGCCTACTTAAAATAAAATAAGAAATAAAATAAAAAAAAAAGAAAAAGAAACAATCTGAAGACATACTAGTAAATAAAAAAGGATAGGTGCAGAATAATGTGTAGAGTCTGCTTACATTTGAATAATAAAGTTAAGATAAGTACACATATATGTTCGTGTATATATGGAATATCTCTGAAAGGATGCACAATTAGCTCTTCACTACATACCCCATATGTTTGTATTACTTACTCAAAAATGAAGTAAAATAAAATCTAACCACAGAGCCTCAAATATCAGCAAGATATGAAACAGAATGGGTAGTGGTTGTTATCTTCAATATAAAAAGGGCTTCCCTCAACTAAGAAAAAGAAAAGCTTGCCAAAAGACAAGTGGATCCAAGACTTGGAATTAGCATTTCACAAGAATATATATATATATGGTTAACACATTTTTTAAATGTTCATCCTCCTTAGAAACTGAACAAATTAAAACCAAATACTATTTTACCCACCAGATTGGAAATTAAAAAACTATTACACCTGACATTGGTGCACATACATGAAGTCGGTATGCTCATACTTCACTGGTGAGAGTTGGTTGTTACCTTTCTAGCCATACATACATCAAAAGCCTTAAGACATGCACACATACCCCTTTATCTCACCCAGCAATGCCAGATCTAGAAGAGAACCTGAGGAAATAATGCAACAAGTACCCCTGGGTGGCTTAGTCGTTAAGCGTCTGCCTTCAGCTCAGGTCATGATCCCAGGGTCCTGGGATCGAGCCCCACATCAGGCTCCCTGCTCAGCGGGAAGCCTGCTTCTCCCTCTCCCACTCCCCCTGCTTGTGTTCCCTCTCTCGCTGTGTCTCCCTCTGTCAAATAAATAAATAAAATCTTAAAAAAAAAAAAAAGTACAAAAAGATATATGTAACACGGATACTACTCACAGTTTTAATTAAAACAGCAAGTCATGGGAGGGAAGCCAAAGTTTGCTCATAAAAGACTAGTTAATAAATTATGGTACACCAAGTAGCTAAACTTAACTAAAAGTTAAATTTCTAAATAACATGTAAGAGTATTAAAAACTGTTCACAGTACCTGGGAGAAAAAAGATTAGCAAAAGAGAACAGCATATAAATTCTGATATAATGGGTGGGAGCAATAAATATACACCATAGGAGTCTGGAAAGACATATACCAAAATATTGATTGTTTCTGGGGGTAGATTATAGGTGATTTTTGGCTTTTCTTTTTACTTTTTGATTTCTCCCAAGTTTTTATATAATAAGCATATATTGCTTTTAAAATGAAGAAAAACAATAAATGGAGGAAATAATTGGGGAAAAAAACCACAGAAGATACAAAAATCCAGTTATTTGTAAATTACAAATGAAATCTAAATCTAAAAACTGTGTAGGGGGACAATTTTACATAGCAATACAAATATTTATCAAATACAAAAGGGTAGAAATACTGCTTTATTTGAGAAACTTACATCCAAATTACTTTTATGTGTTTTAAAAAGTCCTAACAAGCATCCAAGAAGAAAACATATACAGCTTCCACAACAATAAGAACCAAAAAATAGGGCTGATGATTGCCCCAAATGATATTTCCTAAAAGAAAAAAATGCAGTATTTAACTTTCCTTTTTGTGAGTCAGGGTAAGTGAACTGCACACATCATAAATAAAATTTTCTTACTTTACAAGGAGGAAGGACTGTGATCCTGTTTTTTATGCATATTAAATATGAAATACAAAATCCACTCTTCTGAACAAGGTAAGGGAAAAAAAAATCATTCTTTAACATTTCAATTCTCATGCAATGAAATCCAAAGGTCTGTTGAATCCGCCTTTTCGATTCATATATTGCCTATGATGAGAAGAGAAAACTCATTGTTTATTAAAAAAAAATTCCGGACTCCTCTTATAAAATAATAATAATAATATAAATCATCTTTAAATTGGCAAGGTCTAGGGTAAAAAGTATTCATGGTTATTTAATGCACACTTATTAAGGATATTATTTCACTTTCAAAATAACCTAAAGCCTTTCAGATTTCTTTGAAATCCAAAGAGAAGTATGGAGATATACTTTCAAAATTATTTGGAAAGATTCTACAGACTTAAAAAAAAAAAAAAGCTGAAAGTCCATATTTACAGGTAACAATAAGGAAATAGAGAAGAGCTCTAAAATAGGTACCCATCAAGTAAATCCAACTGCATATTGTACTAGTTCTCCTCATTAAGACTTTCTCTGAAAATAATTTTACAAAGGACCATTAAAGATGATTCTGGTCCTCACCTTAACTCACAGAATTCTCAGATCAAATTATACATATTCTAAGTTAATTGGAATATTAGTCTTTTATCAGTGGTAAAGGTTGAGAGAAAGGCATGTTTGAAGATGTCTTGACTTTTCAATTCATTAGGAATTCAGTGAGATTTCAGGTATGGATTGTTTTTTTCCTGTGGTATTAATAAAATATGCCTTAATATACTTATTATATTTAACAAAAATATATTTACAGTTGAAATCCTTACACAATCACTCACAGAATGGCTCTAATTTAAACCTATAATTATAATGAAATTAAAGTCTAAAGATTTGAGATTATGCTGTTCTGAAGAAAGAAAAATGTTGAGCTTTAAAAGATTGAAGCCTTCTCTGTAACAGTTAGTGGTTCACATGTAAACTGGAAATTATTTTAACACACCAGAATATAAGCAAAGAATATCAAGACAAGGACTATATGGAAACTGCTACATTTCCTATAAACACAACTATCTCATAAATAAATACTTTCCCAAGCACCTAATTTATATCATTAGTTCAAACATAATAATGGAGGCTAAGCATACCTGTACTTCCTCTTCTGAGACACATTTATGGCATAAGCATTTACAGAGCCATCCACCTTTTTCCCCTAGAGAAAAGCAATAAACAAATATAAAAAATGGGAAGGATATATTAAATGCCTCAAAGAGCTGGATCCTATAGACATACTTAAATGGCAAAATCCATTTAAGAATGAGGAAGCCCAGGGGCGCCTGGGTGGCTCAGTCATTAAGCGTCTGCCTTCAGCTCAGGTCATGACCCCAGTGTCCTGGGATCCAGCCTCACGTCAGGCTCCCTGCTCGGCGGGGAGCCTGTTTCTCTCTCTCCCACTTACTCTGCTTGTGTTCTCTCTCTCTCTCACTGTGTCCTGTGTCTCTCTGTCAAATAAATAAATAAAATCTTAAAAAAAAAAAAAAAAATGAGGAAGCCCAGGGGCACCTGGGTGGCTCAGTCATTAAGTGTCTGCCTTCGGCTCGGGTCATGATCCCAGGGTCCTAGGATCGAGTCCTGCGTCGGGCTCCCTGCTCAGTGGGGAGCCTGTTTCTCCCTCTCCCACTCCCCCTGCTTGTGTCCCCTCTCTCACTATCTCTCTCTCTGTCAAACTAAAACAAAACAAAAAACAAAAAAAAACTTTAAGAGTGAGGAAGCCCAATGAAAGAATTTTCAGATACTGATATTCCATGAACTCCCATGTATTACAACTCTGTTCCCATTTTTACAGTCATACATAATCTAAGATATTCAAATATTCAAGTCAACAAACATTCATGGTATATATACTTATGTACAAGGCATGCAAAGAAATAGGGTAGCAGAGCCTAACCTTTTTTGGTCCAAGAATTCTTTGAAACCAAATACCAGTTACGGATATTTTCTCTAGAAAAATTTAACTTATGACAGCTCACAGCTTTCTCAAATCACAGCTGCAACAGTCACCATTAATTCAGATCTCATTTCTTGCACAGGCCTTGAAATTTTGATTTTTAAATCACAAATCAGAATACAGGGGCGCCTGGGTGGCTCGGTCGATTGAGTGTACCACTCTTGGTTTCGGCTCAGGCCATGATCTCAGGGTCGTAGGATGGAGCACGGCATGGGACTCCATGCTCAGCTGGGGGTCTACTTGGGATTCTCTCCCTCTCCCTCTGCCCCTCCCACCTCCCCTCTCTAAATAAATCTTTAAAAAAATCAGAATACAGAATAACAGATGCTAATGTTAAGTGTCACTTTTATCTTAGCCTTTCTTATGTGGTATCTACCCTCTTTTTCACTAATTCCTTTATAGGTCCTTTGATTTGGCCAAGTTAACTCATCATTTGCTGTTTCTCATATCTAAATTGCCTTCTCAACCCCCATCCAAGAACCCCAACCATCTGGTTCTTATCCATCATTCAAGGGCCAATTCAAGTGGTCCAGCTGCCAGAAATCACCCTCTACCCTTCCATAAAATGCTAACTGTGCTTCCCTCATAATACCTTCCATTTTCTACCTTGCATTATCATGATGCATATACATGATGTTACCTCCCCTGAGACTGAAAGCTTTTTTTTTTTTTTTTAAAGATTTTATTTATTTATTTGA